AAACAAGTCGCAACACAATGAAATTAGCACAACACAATGGAAACAAGTCGCAGCACAACAAAATTAGCACAACAGAATGGAAACAAGTCGCAACACAGAAAAATTAGCAAAACACAATAGTAACAAGTCGCAACACAACAAAATGAGCACAACACAATGAAAACAAGCTGCAACACAATGAAATTAGCACAACACAATGAAAACAAGTCGCAACACAACGAAATTAGCACAGCACAATGAAATTAGCACAACACAACGAAAACAAGCTGCAAGACAATGAAATTAGCACAACACAATGGAAACAAGTCACAACACAATGAAATTAGCCACAACACAACGGAAACAAGTCGCAATACAACAAAATTTGCACAGCCCAACAGAAACAAGCTGCAACACATCGGAATTAGCACAACACAACGAAATTAGCACAACACAACGAAATTAGCACAACACAATGGAAACAAGTCGCAGCACAACAAAATTAGCACAACAGAATGGAAACAAGTCGCAGCACAACAAAATTAGCACAACAGAATGGAAACAAGTCGCAGCACAACAAAATTAGCACAACAGAATGGAAACAAGTCGCAGCACAACAAAATTAGCACAACAGAATGGAAACAAGTCGCAGCACAACAAAATTAGCACAACAGAATGGAAACAAGTCGCAGCACAACAAAATTAGCACAACAGAATGGAAACAAGTCGCAGCACAACAAAATTAGCACAACAGAATGGAAACAAGTCGCAGCACAACAAAATTAGCACAACAGAATGGAAACAAGTCGCAGCACAACAAAATTAGCACAACAGAATGGAAACAAGTCGCAGCACAACAAAATTAGCACAACAGAATGGAAACAAGTCGCAGCACAACAAAATTAGCACAACAGAATGGAAACAAGTCGCAGCACAACAAAATTAGCACAACAGAATGGAAACAAGTCGCAGCACAACAAAATTAGCACAACAGAATGGAAACAAGTCGCAGCACAACAAAATTAGCACAACACAGTGGAATCAGGTCACAACACAACGAAATTAGCACAACACAATGGAAAACAAGCCGCAACACAACGCAATTAGCACAACACAACAGAAACAAGCTGCAACACAACAAAATTAGCACAACACAACGGAAACAAGTCGCAACACAGCGAAATTAGGACAATATAAAGGAAACGAGCCGCAACACAATGAAATTAGCACAATACAATGGAAACAAGCCACAACACAATGAAATTAGCACAACACAATGGAAACAAGCCACAACACAACGGAAACAAGCCGCGACTTCGTTGTGTTGTGCACTACTGGGCTCCCGTAAGAAACAGGGCTACGTTTCTCGATAATGATTGACCTTAGTGTTTAAGAGCTGTTTCTGTGAGTCATTTTACGAACATTCGTTATTGTTTCACATACGTTTCCCAAAAATGCACTAAACACAATCGCACGTACCCTGCTTTAAGTGCTACTTAGGAGTCGCTTTCCGTTTGTCAAGTGCTGAAATGTCAATTTATAGATTGGCTCGTAATTGTAGTACACACTCGTTTATTGAAATGTTAACCTAATGCTGCGTTCCTGACAGCCCGGATATAATATAATATAATATAATATAATATAATATAATAGTTATAAGTATAATATTAATCTACTATATATAATAATATATATTATATATATATAGTAGATCAATCTTATACTTATAGATTAATTTTATACGATATAGTATAAAATATCTGTAGAGATGTTATTTCCGGGTCAAATACATGGCTGGTTTTAGTGCACGTCAGCAAGTCATTTTTTGAGTTTATCCCTGTTTTTCCCAGTCTTTGAAACATATTTCCTATATTCCTATTTTTCCATATTTCAGTGTTAAATACTTTTAAATTGTTGTTTTGTAATAGATTTTTTCTTTGAAAAGCAAGACAAAACAGTAAAAAGCACATTTTGGCTATTTAATTTGTGCAGTGGTGAAAAAAATTGGCAAAATACATGGGAAAAAAAACAACAACTCAAAAAACCTTGTTCGGTTTTCGGCCTTCGGCCCAGTATTTCATTTTGTTCGGTTTCGGCTTTGGCCAAGCATTTTCATTACGGTGCATCCCTACAATAAAGTACAATCAAAAACTTTAATTATAATCACATTGCACTTGAATGAAGTTAAAGGTGTAATCTGTCGATTGTCCTGCAGGTGACCTCATAATTCTTTCTTTTTATGATGTATGTAGGTATTTACAATTACTCCAGAGCACTCGTAGATCTACGAGATCTTTTCAAGTACTACTTAAGTTACGATGGTTTTGGGATATGGTCCGCAAGTCTAAGATGATTCGTGCGATCGTTTTTACGATCAACTTAAACTTACGATGCTTTTGGGAAAGGCAGCCCTGGTGTATTTATATTATATTGTGCACATGCATATTTGTATTATATTTAACTTAATTATTATATTTTAAATAATGAAATAATTTAAAAATAATAATTTGAATTTGAATAAATAAATAAATAAGTAAAGTGAAGTAAAGTAAAATAAAATAAAATAAATCAAATATAGTTTTACAATATGATACAAAATACAATATGACATGATTTTCCTCAAGCACAGAAACGGCACCACATACAAAAAAAGACCCATAGTGCTATTTAGTAAGTATTAATTTAGTAGATGCTTTTATCCAAAGCAGGTCACAGTAGTGGAGCAACCTGAGGTTTGCTCATCATGCTTGAGCAAACAATGGTGGTTGACCCAGAAACCGGCAAGTTTTCAAATGCTAGCCCTAAGCTTTAACCACTAAACCACCCATGCTATATATATATATATTTCTACATACGCTGTGCTGTTTTGTCACAGGGAGCACTGTCTGGCAGTGAAAGAGCTGTACTGTTATAAGGAGTGGCGCTCTGCTGAGGAAAGATCTCATCGAGGGTTCCCACATAGCATCACTCTCCCAGAATGCACCTCTCTACCCAGCCAACAAGCAGACCCATCCTCATGCACAGCGGTTCCTTACGTTGGTAAGCGTGACACGCTATTATATAAACATACATTTTTAGTTCTGAAAATCCTGTGATATTTTGGGGCTGATTGTCAATGATGTTCATAAAGCATCCGTCCCATGAAAACAATGGGTGTTAGAGGAAAAACTGCCACGTAAGGTTCTTGGCAGGACAATGCTGTAGATTTTATTTGTTTATATGAAATGCCTCGTGAGGAATGTGAGGACAGCAGACCTGTCGATGGACAAGATTACGGTGGTTTATAGCCAAAGCATGTGAGGAAGTTGGGGAGATTGGACAGCTGAGTAAATGTTCCCATCTAAATGTTTCCATGCCATCTTTGCAAGCTCTTGTCTTGCTCATGGATTGGCAAAATTTTGTGGGAAGCAGCAATGAAATGGTAATTATATACTGCAGGAGAGTGACAATTAGGCTGTGTATCTTCTTGAAGCCTGCAGACAGAAAAGTAACTAATCTTAATGAGTAAAATGAATAAATCAATTAACAACGCACTTTTTTTGTGTTATACAGATCTCAATAAAGACCAAGTTACAAGTAAGTGAGAATTTGACTTTGCTTTCTTCACGTATGGTGGGGTGTAAAAGTGGAAGATATATAGAGATTTATTTTTATTTACACTTGAACAACAATACTACTACTTCTACTACTACTACTACTAATAATAAATTGTGTAATAATTACTAATTCGATTTGTTTAATAAAATAATAATTATTATTAATTATTACATTATTTAAAATTAGCAAACACAGATGCATGTTTACTAGCAGACCTTTGGACTCCAGTTTGCATTAAACTTCAATAATGATCATAACAGCACACATTTAATTTTATTTGACCATTTACAGTTTATATGTTCTTTAGCAACATGTTACAATGACAAAGGAAGATTTTACCAAGGAACTCACAACATGACAGCATCTTCCATTGCCTGTCAGCGATGGAACCAGCAGGTACATGTTTGTTTTAAAGTCAGCATAGCAAAATTTACAAATAAATGTTCCTATACTCTTATTTTGTGCAATTATTTAATGCATTTTTTTTTTCTGAGGAAAGTCTAATCTACAAAATCTTGTAATAACTAGTCCTATCACCTATTCACCAAGGATTATGTCATCTAGGCCGCACGGGCAGGGAAAATAATGTTAGCTAGTAGATAGACAAGTAGCTATGTATTTAGCTTTAGATTATTGTTACAGGTAATGCAGTCTGTCTAGTCTTCCACAATGGTTAATGCAGTCGTGTAATAAAGGTTATGACAATAATAGCAAATAACGTACATGTTTGTTTTAAAGTCAGCATAGCCAAATTTACAAATAAATGTTCCTATACTCTTATTTTGTGCAATTATTTAATGCATTTTTTTTTTCTGAGGAAAGTTTAATCTACAAAATCTTGTAATAACTAGTCCTATCACCTATTCACCAAGGATTATGTCATCTAGGCCGCACGGGCAGGGAAAATAATGTTAGCTAGTAGATAGACAAGTAGCTATGTATTTAGCTTTAGATTATTGTTACAGGTAATGCAGTCTGTCTAGTCTTCCACAATGGTTAATGCAGTCGTGTAATAAAGGTTATGACAATAATAGCAAATAACAATAGATTTGACAAAGATATGCTTTTGGCATATGCCAAGGTGCTCTGGAGGAGGATTTGACCAGCATTGCTAAGTTATAGTATTGGGCAAATGGTTAGAATTGCACATATTAATAAACAAACGTTCATTTTAACATGCTATAATTTTCCCTTGTGGCTATAATCAAATATACTTTTTTTTATGTCACTATCCTAAAAATATAACCTACCCCTAAAAAATTTGAATGCTGCATGTTGGCATATGCTCAGTGACCTTCAACAGATATGAACACAGGAAACAAATGTTTTTACAGCAAAAACAATGGAGGGTCAGAATACATAAATCCAGAGGTTTCCTTTGAAATGAAGTTTTTAATGGAGAAGATTTTGTCTCTTTTCAAAACAGTGTGGAAAGGTTTAATGCATGCGGTGGGATTCAACCTCACAGTGCTGGAAATATCAGGGATAATGGGAATATTGAATTTAGCCACAGAGGTTTGAGTTTCTTGGTTGACCGCTCTGTTTTTATCCCACTCAGGATCCCCATCAGCATAGACTCTCTGTAGATGTGATTCCTGAGTTGCGAAATGCAGAAAACTACTGTCGTAACCCAGGCGGAGAGAGTGACAGGCCATGGTGCTACACCACAAACCGTAATGTACGCTGGGAGTACTGTCTGGTGCCCAAATGTGGAGAAGGTATATAAATGTATATCTCACGAATAAATAAGATAAACTAGAACAAAGCTAAGAAAATTCAAAATTATTTTTGACTGGGGTAGCTAATGCTAGATTGTCAGCTAACTCTGAAATATAATACAAATGCTGGTCCTGGCTTATCATTATTTTTCTTTTATTCAGTTATGAGTGTGAAGACTGCACCCTCCATTACAAAACCGGTCCAGATTTACCCACCTCCTCCTGTGTCTACAGCCTACTCAATGAGCGTTATCATCTTCATCATTTCTGGCTTCGCTGGGGCGGCCTTCTTTACCATACTCATCCTCATGTGCCACAGGCGAAAGAAAATGTGGCAAAAGAGGAAAAGGTGAATAATGGACTGTAAAGTCTCATTTATAGTCATTTACAATCATATAGTCTCTCAATACAATTACCGGCACTGGGAAAAGTTGATGGCTCAAACCTTTAAAATAGGGTTCCTCAAATCCGGTCCTGGAGGGCCGATGTCCTGCAGAGTTTAGCTCAAACTCTGATCAAGCTTACCTACCTGTGATTTCCTAGTGATCCCCTTGATTAGATTGCTTAGTTGTGTTTGATCAGGGTTGGAGCTAAACTCTGCAGGGCATTGACCCTCCAGGACTAGATTTGAGGAACCCTGCTTTAAAAAGTGTGATCCATGAGGACTGATGTGGGACAGGGGTGCCTGTAGAGTTCATTTCCATCCCTGCACCAACAGAACTTAATGTACTTGTGAAGTGCTCCTGTTTGATCTTAATTAGCTGGTTCAACTCTGTTTGATCAGGGTTGGAGCTGAATTTGCAGATAGTAAGGACTTCAGGAACAGGAATGTACCAAGATGTACCAAGTGGGCATTGCTATCAACATCTGTTGTTGGTCCTGAAACAACATTCCTATTAAACAATCATAGTCCAAATCTTAAATCTAACCCTAACAGGACACACAATCAAAATTACTCCAGAACAGGGATGGCCAACCCTGCTCCTTGTGGGATACCATCCTGCAGAGTTTAGCTCCCACCCTAATCAAACACACCTGAAATCAAGGTGTTCAGGATGATTTGAAAACAAAGGTTTATTGGAGCAAGACCTGAACTGAAATCTGCAGGAATGTAGCCCTTTAGCAGCAGGGTTGGCTATCCCATCTCCTGGAGGTACACCATCAAACAGAGTCTTGCTCCAATTCTGCTCCAACACCCTTGTCTGTAATGTTCAAGTAATCCCGGACACCTTGGTTAGTAAAACTCTGCAGGAAGGTGGCTCTCCTGGAGAATTGAATGCCCTTGCTCTTGAGAACTCTCACTAAAAATGTACTTGAAGTTGCTTTGTAATTACTTACAAAAAAATGGTTGCATTTCTTAAATTATTAGCTGAATGCATCTAAATAACACAGTTGTGCTTCTATATTCAGTAGGGTGCTGGAGACGCCTACTCTGACTACCCTCCCCTCAGAGCTCTTGCTGGACAGACTTCATCCCAACCCCATGTACCAACGACTGCCTCTCCTTCTCAACTCTAAGCTCCTCAGTCTCGAATATCCACGCAACAACATTGAATATGTCCGTGATATTGGAGAGGGGGCCTTCGGTAGGGTGTTTCAGGCAAGGTGAGAGCTACCAAATGTTACAAGCAAATGTAACACCAGTGGTGCTAATGTCTGTTCTTGTTTGCCACTGTCAGTGTTTATACGGACAGTCCATCACATGATTTCTTTTGTAGGGTTTTGTCAGAGTGAACTTTTATAGTGTGTGAATTATTAAGTAAACCCAGTTTTAAGGACAATGACTGAACTCTCAGAAACTCTCTTCTGACTCACCAGTTAGATATGAGACTACATAAACCATGAATCAGCATGCAAAGGTTTGACGTGTACAGACCAAATAGTCCTGATATCAGATATATAGAGACCCTGGGAAGTACAGCAGTGGGTAAAATGTATACACCATATGGCTGTCTCCTGAAATAGGAACTTGGATAGGCCTAGTAAACATCTGATGTGTTTCATTATGAAACTTCCCTGTAGACACTATCGTGTGAGCGAGCCCTGCTGAGGTGGTTATTTATAGTTGCCCATTAGAAAAGTGTTTACTTCTCCAGGAACACACAGGAGCCTTCAGCACAGGAAGTGTAATCTTAATGGTATTCGAAGCTGGTTCTTGAGTTAGTGCCATTGTGGTTCTGTTTCCAAAGTTTGGCATCACCATTTAAACTATTTTGAAAGGCTTTATGACCTGTTTGTCAATGTGTGACAGAGAAAGCTGGTTTGAGATCAGTGAAGGTGGCCTGTTACTCCAGGCCAAGAAAGTAATTTCTCAGTTAAGCAAGTCAGACTACTATGCCTACTACATTACTTCAAACACAGGATAAAAGCTCATAAACTGATTGATGTTCCAGGTTTGTACTGCTACAAATCCCTCAGCAGGATCAGCAAATTACTGCAATGTGATTCCCAATGTGCCTGCTGTTCTTTAGAGCCCCTGGTCTTTTGCCGATGGAGCCGTTCACCATGGTGGCAGTGAAGATGTTGAAGGAGGAAGCTTCGGCTGATATGCAGAACGACTTTCAAAGAGAAGCTGCACTCATGGCTGAGTTTGATCACCCCAACATTGTCCGTCTCCTGGGTAATGTATCTCAACTGTATGCCTTCAAAGGCTTGCACCATACATCTGCTTGAGGACTTTCCTAAAATGAACCACATCTGCTTCCTATTACACTTATGTCCTTTCCTTAAGGGTACCACACAACTGAAAAAGCCTTAAAATAGCTTGACTTATCCATTTCAGAGTTGACCCAGTGTGTAACCCTGGATCAGTCCCCTCTGTGGCATTCCGGAACCAGATTCAATGCCTCGACCCAGTGTTAGAATAACAGAAGGATATTTTTGGTTAGGTATCAACTGTTGGAAGCACAACTAAGCCTGTCGTTTGTGTATCTGTCATGCAGGAGTCTGTGCGGTGGGGAAGCCCATGTGTCTCATGTTTGAATACATGGCCTATGGGGACTTGAATGAATTCCTGCGACGGCGCTCTCCAACCCAGCAGCCCAGTCTAAGTCGGGATACCTTGACGTGCAGCAGTCTCATGTCAGAACCTGAGCGTTACCCACCCCTCAGCTGCCTGGAGCAGCTCTCCATATCCAAGCTGGTGGTGGCAGGAATGGCGTACTTGTCGGAACGCAAGTTTGTGCACCGTGACCTAGCTACCCGCAACTGTTTGGTCGCCGAAAACCTGGTCGTGAAAATTGCGGATTTTGGTCTCTCACGCAACATATATGCAGCAGATTATTACAAAGCCAGTGAAAATGACGCCATCCCGATTCGCTGGATGCCACCTGAATCTATCTTCTACAACCGCTACACCAGCGAGTCAGATGTGTGGGCTTATGGTGTGGTACTATGGGAAATCTTCTCATATGGCATGCAGCCATACTATGGCATGGCCCACGAGGAGGTCATCTACTATGTAAGGGATGGAAATGTGCTCACCTGTCCAGAAAACTGCCCACAGGAGCTGTATAACCTCATGCATTTGTGTTGGAGCACTCATCCCACTGACCGGCCTAGTTTCGCAAGCATTCACCGCATCCTGGAAAGAATGCATGACCAGATGCTCCAATCTGGCCTTTCTTGAGGATCTCTAAAGATGCAATTCAAAGAACCGAAATGCTCCAATCTTTAAGGAACTCATTAGAATCCCAAAGAGCCCTGAGGGATCTTGAAGAAGGATAAAACATTTTAAGGTATCCACAAGAGCTGAAGACAACCCAGCAAACCTTTAAGTGCCCACAAATACTCAAGAACCCAGAGGAACATTGAGGAATGTGTAAGAAGCCTGAAATGATTGAAAAGGCTCTCACACCTTAAGGAATACTGATCCCTCAAACTCTTTGAAGATGAGTTTGCTTGCATCTGTTCAAAGGATCCCAATTGTTTTCTTTCAATGAAGCAGATGTACGGCAGACATCAGATGTGCGCTAGTCAAGGTTTGAGGTGATTCATATTAACAGGATCACCAGTAATGAAGGTTAACATCTAGCAATAAGGTGGATGTAGTGCAGTCACTGAAATAATCTAGACTGAAATCTCTGCAAGCAGAGACATACAGTATAAATGCCTGATATGTGTACTTTTCATCGCTTTTGGATCTATTTTGAGTAAAAATCTGAGAGTACTATGCATCTGTTAGTAACATTCTTCGAAAAAGTTAATTCAAGGACATGCTATATTGCTTAAAGCTGAAAAACTTTATCATTGTTTAATTTAAATTTAAAACGTTTAAATAGAATTGCTTATTCCAAAGTGGCACATCATCACTTTATTTTATTTTGTAACTAAATAGTTTTGTTAATTTCTCATTAATTGATATTCCAAGATACTATGTTTCTTTGTGTGTTCTCGGTTATATTTGTGAGTGAAACAATGTATCAGAAAATATCGTAGAGAAGTGTATGTAGAATATTTTTGAACAATTTCTTAACCCTCTACCGCATGGTGTAGCCATATGGCAACATACTCTCATGTCTCATAATTCATTAAAAATGAACTTGTATGAATTATATGCGTTTTATTATAAATTGAGACAGACATCTGCTTAAAATCAACTTTTAATAATTTATCTGTTTGATGGTCCCATATACATAACCAGCCAACAAACAATAAAACCTATGAAAATGAAGTAGTCACCCCTTTGTCTAGATTATAACGCTGCATACACTGAAATCACCATACATCCTGGTGCATTCTGGGATACTATATAATCAGTACTATAGGAGTGTGCATGTGTACTTAACACTTTACTTCATCTGATACAACTCACTCATTTCATTTTCAGTTCAATTCAGTTCAGCATGTTCGAACTTCTGACAGGTATTTAGCTAAAATCTCAGAAAAAAATGCTTTGGGAATTTGTTATTATACACGCATAGCATGACCTTTTTTTAGTGTTATTATTATGTCATTATTGTATTATTACACAATTTTACACCAATTATGTTAATATAGTGGTTTCATTCGCTAAATGAATCGATGTTGGATATGACTTGCTTGAAATAAAACTATTTAGTACATTTCTCTTGTTGTTGTCTTGAAAACATGTTCGTAAATAAATACACCAATCCACAATTGCAGAAAGCAACATTCATGGTATATAAGTAAATGTCCATATCAAGTATGATCAAATGTGGTAATATAAGGAGCTTATTAAGAAACTAATAGTCTACTGGACACTTGTTTTTCAGTTTGAAATTGTGGTTTGCTTCAGGTAGCAGGCAGGGGGCAGTATTACATCACAGGAACTAAAATGACCTCATGGAGCCTGATTTATGACACTACCTTTCTCTGCATTTGAGCCAGGTTTTTGCTCTAAGAATTCAAAACAGGAACTCGCTGAGACAGTATTAAATCACGCTGGCATTTAATGAAGAGGGATGGTGAAGGATTTACTTTCAACGTGTGTGGGACTGTTTCTCTATTCCAGCATTTAATTCATCATCTTAGAATGTCGGGTCACATCTGATAATCCTAGAAATACATTGTCTTTGCCATGAGTTTTTAACTGTTATAGAAACCTCGAGGAGTAAGCGAGGCAAAACCACAGACGTCCCAATAGTAGTAGGCCAGGAAAAACAAGTGCCGAATGGATTCACGAGCCCTTGGCTCCTGCCAGCACGTTTGGAAGACGGAGAGGCCACAACACAACCAAGTGGGTGAATTTGGGCCTCAGTGATTTCTGTTCAAACCTTACACTTTCTCTGCCCCTTGTGATGTAACTTGGAGAAAAACACCAAATTCCCGAACACCCCACAAGACAATTAAAAAAGCTGATTCTTTCTTAATACAAAAAAAGTCCTGTTGAAATTGGATAGGATAATGGATTTCATAAGGGAGAAATAGAACAAATTTCATTATCCTGTTCAGCCATTAAGGAAAAATAAAATAAAATAAAATAAAATAAAATAAAATAACAAAAAGTTTCACTCCCAAAGATTTTTATTTTAATATTCTTATTTTGTATTTTTTTAAATATAAATTTCATACCATCCTTTTTATGTTCTTTATTTTTTTTTATTGTTTAATTATACTAATGATATATAATGCTAATCAAATAGTAAAACTGTATAGTTCAGAAGTGTTTAATTTAATAATCAACTTCATAAATTTCCTTAGAAATTAAAATTGGCTAATGTAAAAACTGTTAACAATGAAATAGAGCAATAAATGAATGAATGAATTAATTAATTAATTAATAAACAAATAAATAAATAAATAAATAAATAAGTAAGTGTAACAGGCCAGATAATTTGGTGTTAATGGGCAAAGTTAATAATCAAATATTTTGAGTTCATATTTTGTTCTTTTTGAAATGTTGAGATATTGGGATCTTATAAAATTCTAGTGGAGACATGCGAGCTTACTGGGATCATTTTCTCAGGAGAAAGCAGGAAACCACAATAACCTGCGAGTCTCCTTTTGATCATCATCTAATCTCACTGCTGTCTAGGAATAACAACCAAGATACTGATGAGATCCTGTTTGTGATCTTCTCTTCTATTGCTAAAGCTTTATTCTTTGATTTAGATTCTGTCTAAACCATCACAAGCCAGTTTTCGGTCTGTCTCGGGGTCTGACACAGGGTCTTTGAATGAGAGGGTGGAGTATTATAAACCTGGGAAGTGGACAGTAGGTTGACTGTTCCCATTTTAGTTAGTTTATTTTGGACTTGAGAGCACAACTTAGTATAGCCGTGGTCTCCTACATTTCAGAATAGTAGTACTTGGATGCCTATAACTTGCATTTTGTAGTAAATGATAAATGTTATTACATTTCTTGCACTCTTGTCCAAGTTTAAAATGCACCATTAATATTTGTAAGGTGAGTTTGGGAACTGAATTGACCAGCTACAGCCTCTGCCTTATATTTTAATTTCTTGCAGGACTATAGTGTTATTATTATTATAAAGACTCTGTTTATAAGACTCAGATTCATATTATTACAGATAATACAATTGCATACTTAAAAAAAAAAAAAACTAGGTTAATAAAATACTTAAAAGAGTATACTTAAGTGCAAATTAAATGTAATGTTTTCAGACATTTAAATTCATTTTAATTGCAATTTAATGAACATGTGGTACAAAAGATTAAACGATGATTTAAAATGCAACAAGTTATCTGAAATTCAACTTTAAGCCAGTTTAAATTTAAGTCAAAATGAGTTGTACAACTAAGTTGGTGATACTTAAAAATTTAAGGCAGCAACAGGATTATTTATTTATTTATTTATTTATGTATTTATTTATGTGTGTGAATGTATTATATTATTTGTAAGTTTTTTTATTTATTTTATTTTTTATTTACTTCTAAGATTTGAAGTACAGTAAAAGTGCACATTCAGTACAATTAAGCTTATTTTTTCCCCAAGGATAAATCCGAAAATTATGTCAAATCTAAATATTTGGTAACACTTTAGATTGCTGGGGAACACATATTCACTATTACGTGAATAAGTGAGTTTGCCCTCAAACTCCTAATTTGCTGTTTATTAATAGTTAGTAAGGTAGTTGTTAAGTTTAAGTATTCAATAGGATAATATGGTCATGCAGAATAAGGCATCAACATGTGATTTATAAGTACTAATAAACAGCCAATATGCTAGTAATACGCATTTTAATGATCAAATAGTTAATAGTGAACAGTAGTCTAAAGTGTTACCAAATATCTCAACTAGTGCGTTTAGACAATTAGATCTCAATGTACTTTACATTCAAACGTCAAGCTTCATGATGGCTGTCTGAGAAACTGCATGTCTACTATCACGCATGACTAAAGAGTACCGCAAACACAGAGGAATTCCGACCCCAGCTGCTCTGCTTTATAGACTTGGCAGTGTCCGAGCAAAAACTGAAGTCCAATTGTCTCGTGGAATCTCTCTGGCCATATGTTTCACATACCAAGCATTTTCACGATTGTTTTACAGATATGACACACGCTCCTTATAGTGGCCAACAATGAGGCCAGCAAGGGTCTGTTTTTTATAGTTCTTGCAGATTAGTGACATCAGCATTGACGGAGAAATATCCCCATCACTCATCAGCTCACTCTAAACACGAGGATTTCCTACCGCATTGCAGGAAATGTGGGAAACTCCATTTTGTTGTAATTCTGGAAAATATCTGTCGACTCCATGACATTATGGGGTACACTCTTAAAAATAAAGGTGCTTCACGATTGCCATAGAAGAAGCTTTTTGTCTAAATGGTTCCATAAAGAACCTTTGACTGAATGGTTATTTGTGGACCCAAAAATGGTTCTTCTATGGCATCGCTTGAAGAACCTTTTGAAGCACCTTTATTTTTAAGAGTGTAATTGGCACATTTTTCCTTTGCAAAAGAACAAATGAACTGAAATGCCAGCATGTGTATTCTAGTAACTCCACCATGTAAATGCAAAACAGTATTCAACATTACATTTTCAAATAAATGATGCACCAGAAGAGGATTTGACTCATATACAGATTTATTTTAAGAAGGTTCACTAATCGTATGACATTGTTAAGTGAATGTTACCATACAGGGTTTCAGAGTTCAGACTTCATTAGGGAACAGGTATCTTTTTCTGAAATGGTCACATTTGCTGAAACGTAAAAGGAAACGTCGTTTTTCAACCCAGAATGAACCTATGGCCCATGACCTGTCGAGCACAGCTGTCTTTTCTGGACGGACGTTATTTGGAGCACTGGACTGCTTCAAACTCGCAAGACTTGCAACAGGGCTGGAACATTTGCTGCTCGGTTCATGCGAAAAATAAAGAGGTTTTATAGGTTATTTTCCTGGGAAGACAAATAAAATGAACAGAAACTCAAACGTCCACAGTGAATCGATGCATATTTTCACTGTAAAACTTATGAGAATGTTAGTATTGACTACTGATAATACTGACATGTTTTAGAAATATAGCATCTCAGCCAAAAACCCCTCTATTTGTCTAAGTGTGCAAATCTTCAAATTTGAGCCATATTAAAGTGGATTCATTCTCTTTACACACAACGCTATTTCAAACACGATTAAACATTAAAGCAATACTGTCAAAAATGTCATAGGGTACAAAATACTGTTTTTACCTTTGTTTTAAACTGGAGGTTATTTCCTGAGAAACGTTCCCTCTCATGAACAATACGCCATATAAAACTGTTAATTTCACAGATGTTAGCATTATAGTATATTGAACATTACAGTCAAGTTGAACTTTCCTACAGTGGCCTGGCAAGTTTTTGAGCACTTACAAGTCACACTTACTTTATATC